AGGTGTAGAGCTGGGTGGGGAGGAGCTGGAGGAGAAGGGAGAGCCACCATGTCCGTGTCTCCATCCTCCACAGAGCAGAACGGGAGGGGAGAGGACTCCTTGCTGGAAGCATGCCCACAACACTGGGGATCTGTTTCCATCTGCTCATTTTACTGCTGAGATGTAAAGTGCTAAATGTCATTCTCCTCCCCTTCCTTAAACAACAAGAAGAAAGTTAACAGCCTGAGAAAGGAAATATTTCACTTCATTTGGCAGCCAGCCACTATCATCCATGCAGGGTGCTCCCTCAGAGTCTGATTAGGGACAGGGAGAAGCCAGGTTCCATTCCACTTGCAGCTGTTAGAACCTGCTCTATCAGAGCAGGTCCAGCTAGGGTGGCAGTGGAGGCTGGCTCCGCTCAGCCTGGCTGCTGACAATCATGTGCCACCCTTTGAACAACCCCAGCATTGCATCAGATGCCAAAACTGAAAGGGAAGATGTGAGCCAGAGGAGAGTGTCTTCTTCAAGGTCACTTTGCTTATTAGGATATGTGCTGTATGGGCTTAAGAAGGTAAACTTGAATCAAGGAAGGAAATGACAGAAAAGAAGATTTTAACTCAGTTGAAGGACAAGCTCAGAAGACTTAGACCTGCTGAAAAGTGATTATTTTTAATGAGGTAGTGAGCTGCCTGTCCACCAGAGACATGAAACTATTGAACCCTTCCTTTCTGGACACTCACTGCAAAGGGGAATGTTGCTGTAGATGGAAGACTGGAACAAGAATGACTAAAGTTCTTTCAACTCTGAGATCCTGGAAACCTGGAACTGAGGAATCTCACCTAATTTCCTGATCATTAACATGCCTTGGTCATGCAGATCTAATAAGAGTTCCTGGCTGCCTGGGACTGTTGCTAGCCCTAGAGAAGGAGTGGGCAGGCAGTGCAGGTAGGAATGATTCATCCTCATTGTTGGAGGGTTAAGGCTTTTATTCTGAAACTGTCCCCACAACCTAGCTGCTCAATGGTCAGGGGTGTTCTGTGTTTTAGCTGTGATTAAAATATCATCCATTTATTGGTCCTCCAGCAGCTTGGAACTGTCAGTCCTGCAGAATTGTTTCTAAAGAGGGACAGCCAAAGGTCAGGTCCTGGCCCCTAGGGATAGTACATTTTCCTTCCCACTGAACTATGGAAGGACCACTCACCCTGGCTGAGGATGGCTGTCCAACCAGCTCTACTAGCTAAAACTTTCAGTAGGTTTCAAGCTTTCCCTTGTGGCCTGGAAGGCCACATTGCCAACTGTTCTGTACTAAGTTGTGAACTCCTGGAAACCAGAACAGAATCTTTTCTGTTCCCTATCATTGTCACAATGCTTGACACTCTGCTAGTACCTTGTAAATACTTGTTGACTAGAAGAACAGAAGAATGGTGCTCTTTCTTGATAGGACAGATGTGAACTTGGCAAGGAGATATCTGTGAAAGCATCATGATTTGGGAGGCAGTTTTGAATTTGACCTTGGATAAGTCCATGTTCTTTTTCTTTGGGGGGGGGGCTGAACTCTGGGCCTGGGTGCTGTCCCTCAGCTCTTCAGCTCAAGGCTAGCACTCTACCACTTGGGCCACTTTCCCAGCCCAAGTCCGTTCGGTTTCCCTAATCACAGAAATAGGGACTTGATGTAAGGAAGAATTGGATAAGACATAGAAAGAATAGTTGAGCTCTAGATCTCAAGAGTTCTTGAGGCCCAGATCTGGTCTTAGACCTGCAGAAGGGTTATGAAGTTGCCTATTTGGGATTGAGAGGCCAAGTCACTCCTGTTAGTTTGCTTAGTTCAACTACCAAGTTATCCCTGTCCTGTAGGCCATATTCAGTGCAAGGCTATGGGGGAAATCCCCTTGTTGATAAGAACCCAAGTCAAAGGCAGACAGAACTACAGCCTGAGAAGGAACTGTATGCTAGGCAATGGGACACAATTCCAGGGCAGCACTCCAGGCAGAAAAGGGAGAGATCAGAGATGGGAGAAATTGGCAAGACTTCTGAAGGAGGTGCCTTTGAACTGAGCATTTAGGATAGAGGTGACAGGAAGCAGCAGGAAGTGCAAAGGCCCAGGAGTGAGTTGGTTTGGGAGCAGAGACTAGGCCAAATAACAGGTAGGGCAGAGCTCACAGGGCAGCAGGGGCCCAGATTCTGGAAGAAAGATGACATGTGTCCTGTTGAGCCGTGCTGCAGGAGATAGCCTGGGACTCAGCTCATTTTCCTTATGTTCTCACTCTTCACATGCTTATCTGTGACCTCGCCTCAGTGTCCTCATCTGTAAAAGAATGATTATAATGGCTACCCTTCAGGCTGTGGAGAGAATTCAATGAGAGTACATACATACGTAAAGTACCAAGCATGCAATAGACAATCCAAGAAATGAAGTTTCTTATCTGTTTTTGACTTTTGGTTAATATGCAGACAGCTCTGAGAGAAACCCAGAAATGGTGCTTGTGAACCATTTATATGATAAGTGTGAATGAAATGATCAGAAAGCTTATTGGAAGTGTTCTACAAGAAGTGTGAAAGAGAGAGAAATGTATGACTTTGGGGAACTGAAGAGATGGAAGGAAAGAAACGGGACATTACTGGAAAGACATACAGCAAAACCTTGTGCTACCAAAAACTCATGCAGCTTAACTTGGATGCTTTTGCCTTGCTAAAAAATAATTCAGGCAAGACATGAATAGGATAGAAAAGTTTATTAAAGAGAAAATGAGATACACTGCAAGATAGCAGTAGGTTTGAGCAAGGCTTCAGCTATCTCTCTAGGCTTTGTGTTTCTGGGATTAAAAAAAAAAAAAAACCAAACAATTCTGAAGTGGCGCTGTGGCTCAAGTGGTAGAGCACTTGCCTTGAGCTGATGAGCTGAGGGACAATGCCCAGGCCCAGAGTTCAAGCCCCATGACTGACCCCCCCCCCAAAAAAAATTCCAGGTTAAATGTGGGCTGTCCATTGTTTATTGGGAACTCTGATGGACAGGTTGGTTGAGAGGTGTAGATTATATAACAAATGTGCATCTGGGCAAGTCTAGATTTGTTGGGTCACTGTGCACAGACCCCCTATAGAGATTGAATAGTTGTGGAACTGAGATCCCTGGGCACCTTAGGACCAAGAGGTAGCTGTAGGGTCATTGTGTGTTCTGCATCTGTGCACTGGGGAGGTGGCCCTGCCTGCCAGATGAACCCTTGGATAGCAGGACTTGGTATCAGCTGTCTAGACCAAGGGTTTTTGTTTTGGTGGTCATGGGGTCATTGAACTCAGGGCATGGGTGCTATCCTTGAGTTTTTTTGCCCAAGGCTAGCACTCTACCTCTTGAAGCCACAGCTCCTCTTCTGGTGGTGAACTGGACTTTCCTGCCCCAGCTGGCTTCAAACCATAATCCTCAGGTCTCAGCCTCCTGAGTAGCTAGGATTATAGGCCACCACACCTGGCTTTACCAGCGTCTTTATCTGTACTTTTATGGCAGCCTAGGGAAGATCATTCTGAGGTCTGAGGCATCTCCTACAGAGGACTGGGAGTTATGGGCAGATCTATGGCCCTGTCAATGATCCTGGTCCTGTTGCCCTGGCAACAAGGCACCCTATGTTTGGTGCCTATCTCAGGGATATGAGCCAAGGACAAACTTCACCAACTTACAAGTCTTGCTACTAAACCACCCAAAATTTAGTTTATCTGTTTAGTGAAGTAAGAGAAAGAAACAGGTCCCCATCATGGAAGGTCAGAGTTACAGCTTTGGGTGGAGAAGGATTGGGGTGGGGGTGGGGATAGAAGACAGGGCCATGTATACTGACTACTGGCCCCAGCTGTAATAGAGACACAGGAGGGAGGGAGAGAATGTCATTATCTAAAATGCTGAGGTAACAGGGTCCTCAGGGTGGCCTTGTGTCCACATTCCACTAGTACCACCATGTATGCCACCATTAGTTTTAGAACTGAATGAATATTGAGTGCACCATGTGACAAGTGACACATAAGTGTAAGTAAACACATAGGCTTTAGTGTAGTTCCATTTATTAGCATTTTTTCCAAACCTTAAAAATGCTTGAAGGGGCTGGGAAGGTGGCTTAGTGGTAGAATGCTTGCCTAGCATGCATGAAACCGTTCAATTCCTCAGTACCACATAAACAGAAGAAGCCAGAGGTGGCTTTGTGGCTCAAGTGGTAGAGTGCTAGCCTTGAGCAAAAGCTCAGGGACAGTGCCTAGGCCCTGAGTTCAAGCTCCAGGATTGGCAAAAAAAAAAAAAAAGTTGAAAGTCAGTCTGAGGTACAGGTTGAGGAGGATGGATGGATGACTAGCATGCCACTTCCCTTCTTGGCTCTGTTCTTCCAAGGTGTGCAGTGAAGGGATTGTGGGATATGACCTACAGCACTGTACTTCTGTCTACCCATCTTCCAGTGGCTATGGAGATTCAGGTCCAGCCTGAGGACCAGGGACGTAAGCAATACAAGGAATACAGCTCTCCAGAGAAAGCAAAAGACGCAAAGAACTCATAAACCCTTATGGAGTTCTTGTTGCAATTATGTGCAACTAGCATTCCTGGAGTTTGACAAGAACTGACTCTGAATTTGGGGGTTAAGTTAGCTCCTATGTAGGAGGCTGCAGAATCCAGCCCAGCCATTCTATAATTTGGTGGCAATTAGAATCAACAAATTCCACATCTAAGATTTAGGATTTTGATCCCAAGTGTGTAAAGTTCCAAGATTTCCTTCATTCTCTGACAGATTGGAGACAGGTGGCATACTTCCTAATGGGTTCTCTGCAGAACAGAGACATCAGATAAAGGTTCTATTTAATGGGTTTTATTTCAGGGAGTTTGGAAGGCCTTTCAGACTAAGTAGCTGGCCCAGGAAGAGGACTGATGGAAAGGTGGTAGGTAGAAATGGGTTCTGTGCACCCAGATTTACGTTAGGGTCCGGTCTGTAGCCCACCCATTGTGAGATCTTGACCTAATGGTTTAGAGCTTTTCTGGCTCAAACACCCACTCCACTTATTTATGAGGCTTTATTATAAAGGACCCTGTAGATCGAATCTAAAGGCAGCTAGCTATTCAAGCATAAGGGTCTCCAGTACCAGGACTTAGAAAATCACCATAATTGAGGCAACTTCTCCTTTTTTCTAGAGGGCGTGAGCCATCTTGTTTCTTCTGCATGTCCCTCAATTGACAGTCTCCCAGTCTCTGCTGGTCTCAAACACGTCTTGAAGCCCATCCACAAGTTCCTAAAAGAATTGAGCTGTCCTTGCCCACACGGGAGGGTGGGGCCATTCTTTGGCTCCCAGACTCCATCCAATCAGCTGTGGCTAAGGGGCCTCGTCGGGGGCGGGGCCTCGTCAGGGGCGGGGCCTCATCGGGGCGGGGCCTCGCCGGGGCCTCCCATCAGGTCTCCCGCTCCAGCTCAGAAGGAGAAGGCCCGACGGCCACGTGGCGTTGCGGCGCTCTCACCCTCCAGTTCCATGGTCTCGAACAGCAGCCGCACCAGCGCCGGCCGTCCCTGAACCACCAAGGCCCGAGCCAGTCCCAGCACCTCCTCGGTGTGGCCGCGCCACACGCGCTGCAGCTCTTGGCGCAGGCGTGCCGCGGGGTACTTGCCCTGGGCGCGGCGCAGCCAGACGTCCACCTCGCAGCCCAGCTCGCCGTCGCTCAGCTGCGCCTGGCTCCACTGCGCCAGCAGCGTCTCCAGCAGGCAGCCGAAGCCCTCCGTGTGGCCGGAGCCCGCGTCGTCCAGCTCCACGGCGCGCTTGAAACAAGCGGCAGCGTTGGCCTCCTCTCCCTGGATTCGCAGGCACTTGCCCCGCAGCAGCTGCAGCTCGGGCAGCGTGGCGCCCAGCTCCGACTCGCCGGCCTTGGCCAGGAAGACCAGGGCCTGGTTGAGCGCCGCCTCGTCCACCGCCAGCAGCTCCTTCACAGCGTCCACGCCCATGTAGTAGTAGACCTGAGCAGGGGGAGCGAATGAGCCTTCCTCCCGCGAATCCCCACCCTCCCAGCCCGAGCCTGATGGTTAAAAATCCCCTCCGTTCATTCCCAACCTCCCTTTTCCCTTGGCTGTTCACGTGAATCTTGTCTCCGCCCCTCTGGAAAAGTAAGAGGACAGGTCCAGCCCCTCCATGCTCAGCCCTATGTCCCCGAGCCTGTCAATCTCCATCAGTGGGTTTTCTCAAATAGAATTTTCATCTCTTGGTAACCTTCTCTGAGCACAGTAGGCACATCTGGATGCCGAACTGTACTTAGCACTGAGAGAGCCAGGCCCCTCTATACTTTGAGGCAGTTGATGAGTTACCGAAGGGAAGACCTTCACAACTGTCTGTCCTCCTGCCCAGGCCTAGCCTAGTAGGTTCTCTGAGACTTTGGCTAATAAAGTTTAAAAGGCTTCCTTACCTGACTGATGTCCAGGTACGTCCTGAGATCTGGGCACACCTTGACCACTTCCTCCAGGTCAGACTTGGCACAGGCCAGATGGTTCCTGTCAGGTATGCCCCCTAGCCCCATCTTGGCCCGCTCCAGGTCGTGTAGGTAGGTTCTGATGTGGATCTGCCAGTGGAGGATCAGCTCAGAAAAGGTGCTCAAGCAAGGACCTCAGCTTCCTTTCTGACCCAAATGAAGCCAATCTCTCTCCATAGCCACCAGACTTTCTATGGTGCAACAGAAATCCACCCCCCCCATCTTAGTCCTGTGCCAATTTGGCCAGCTACTACCCCACGTCTGGCCTCCCTTCCATACAGTGCGGAGCCTGGTGAAGTCAGAACCCCTCCGTTGCTAGGCATCAGTGGCTCACACCCATAATCCTAGCTGTTCAGGAGGCTGAGGATTTTGATTCATAGCTAGCCTCAGCAGGACAGTCTTTATCTCCAATTATCTACCGAAAAAAATCAGAAGTGGAACTATGGCTCAAGTGATAGAGCACTACCATGAATGGAAAAAGCTACAGGACTGCACTCAGGCCCTGTGTTCAAGCCCTCATATTGGTACAAAAAGAAATGAGTTATTTACTCCTTCAGCAAATGTATGTTGATCCCTCCCCCCACTATTATCCAGGTGACTTGGAGAAAGGTACCTCTGTCAACCGTATTTTCTGTATCTGAAAAGCCATTCCCTTGGAGGAATTGCCATGACAACAGACAGAATATGTTTTAGTCAGGCCCCAGCACATGCTCATTTCATTCATTCATTTATCCATTCATTCATTCATTATGCAGGTAGAATCTACTATATGCCAGGCACTGAGGGTACAATAGAGAGCAAAATGGCAAGACCCCCTGTAGTGGGGAAGGGATAGTAAACACAATAAATCAAGAACTAGTATCTTACAGAGTGATTGATGTTAAAAAGAAAATGTAAACCAGGCAAGGATAGAAACTATTGTTAAAGGGTGATATTTTCACTAAGATGACTGCTGGAAGCTGTCTGCAAGAGTAAGGGGAAAGCTAATCAGCTATCTAGAAGAAGAATACTCTGGGTAAAGGCCAGGCCAGGGGGCTGCAAGCGCAGAGCGAGTAGGTCTGGCTCATAGGTGCTAGTGTTGGCTGAGGCCTCTACATTGATCATGTGAGTTCCTTTCCTTTGGCTTCTTCCTTCCCTGTAAAGTGGACCTTGGGAGCTACAGGGAGACAGCAAGCATACGATACAAGATGATGATGAAGTGAGGAGGTAAGCAGAGTTCCTGCTAACCGAATGCAAGCTGGGGTGAGGGGAAGCTGTTTGCTTCTTGGTGCCCTTGTGGCCCCATTTGTAGTCTGGCCCATGTCTGGCTTCTCTCACTCACTGTGTTTTGTGAGGAGTAAGACAGACCCCAAAACAAGAGCTCTAGGTGAGATGCTGAGACCAACAAAACTGTCCCATCATTTGCTGCAACAATTAATATCCTTATTACTGATAATAATACGCCTATCAACCACATCAAGGAATTTCCTGCCTGGAATCTAAGGCAGCTTCGTAAAGTCCCTGAGACCAAGACAGGGAGATGATTGGCCACTAGGTGGCGTGAAAGGAGGTGGAGAAGATGGGAGAAATGGGACTGTAAAAGATTTATAGGAGCTGAAGAGAAACCAGAGTGTAAGTAGGACTTACTTTGAAGCAAAGTAAACTTGGAGTTCCCCAACCAGATGGGCTCTGAGAGCTGGAGGGAGGTGGCTCCCACTTAAATGTGTAACTAGCAGCAGTGAATGACTGCATGAAGACTGTCTCGAGAGATGAGAGAATTAGGGCTGGGAAGGTGGCTCAGTGGTAGAGCGCTTGCCTTGCATGCATGAGGCATTGTGTTTGATTCCTTAGCACCACATAAGCAGAAAAAGCTGCAAGTGGTGCTGTGGCTCAAGTGGTAGAGCACTAGCCTTGAGCTGAAGAGCTGAGGGACAGTGCCCAGGCCCAGAGTTCAGGCCCACGACTGACGAGAGAGGGGGGGGGGGAAGAGAGAGAATATCAGTTCAGAGTGAACCTAACCTAGCAGCCAGTTCTTTAGGATTGCTTATGATATACTTGATGCTGAATCTAATGTAAGGCTCTTATTGACTGCAAGAGGCAGGTAATCTGTCATCTCCATCCACACATATGGAAATCGAGGCTTAGAACTGAGTTCTTTGAATTGGAAGTGGTCATGTAGAATCTGAACCAAGACTGTCTGCGTTCAAGGCTAGAGCTCTGATCCACTGCTTTAGGCTATGTCTACTGCACTTTGGCCTTTCTAAAGTACCTCCCATACCCAGGGATGAATTTCAGTGCCACCTCATTTATCCTCTGACCCTAAGATCCTTAGTCATGTCTTTAACATCTGGGAAGTGTGGTTTGGAGAGGACATGACTTGTCATACATCCCAAGCAATAGATGGAGAGGTTGGATGTTGATTCCATTAGCCCTACTCTGCAGGGCTGATCCAGAACATGGAGGCTCCTTGGCCAGGCTCTGGGGGCAGGGCTTCCTCTACAACTTTCCTCAACACCATCTGGTTCCTCTCCCATCACAATGGTTCCAGGGCCTCTGGCCTCTGATTCTTGATGACAGGATGAGATGGTACTGCAGATGGACCCACCTTGGCCCTGGTGCAGTATGCCTGCCAGTTGAGTTCTGGGTCTGGAAGGACATCCAGGGCCATGTTGCAGGTTCCAATGGCCATATCTTGCTTTCCTAGGAAGTGGAAGATTTTGGCCAGGCGATTCAGGATGGGAGGCTGGTCCTTGGCAATCTCAATGGCCTGGGAAGGAAGAGGGTAGGAGCTTGTCTCTCAGACTGGCTCAACGGTGCCTGAGCCACAGGTGCCCGGTTCCACTTAGATTCCTGCCATTACAGAGGTACTAATTCCCACCTCTACCCAATCAGTTCTGTCATGTGGAACCCAACACTTCAGGACAAACCCGCTGGCACTCAACTCCAGAGAGTCTGACTCAATGCCATGTTTGCCAGTTGTAGCCAGAAGACCCTTCAGGTTCTAGTCACCCCTTAACCAGCAGTATGCCTTCAGTTTCCCAGGGCAGAAAGGCCAGAGTCAGCCTTTACCTCCCTGTACTTATGGGGCTTCCTGCTCAGATACAGCATCCTCCTCCCTTCCCCCGCCGGCCCTCCTGCCATGTTGGTTGACTGCTGTCTGTTCTGAGTGACTTGTCTTAGGGTCATGTGGCCCGTGGGAAGATCTGGAAAGGAGAGTTCAGCTAAACTAAACTCATCTTGTCTCCACTGGGGGGTGGGGACAATGTAGACACTGTCAAGGAGCAAGTCTGGGGGTCAATTTCAAGCCTAGAGAAATGGGCTTGAGCCAGCTGGAGGTGGGGGACATGGGCTTACACAGGGAGGAGGAATGGCCACAAGGAATGAGGTGGTTGGAGAGAGAGGTATGGAGGAGGGTGCTCCCTGGGTTAGCCACATAGTGGGGGTGATACAGAGAGGGACAATGGTTCTTGGGGAGAGGGGAGAGGTCAGGCCCCTCCAAATGTGCAAAGTACATGTGGCTGGGGCATGTACCTTGCCAAAGCAGTCCAGGGGGTCGGTCCCTGAGTACCCGTAGTCATGGACGCCCATCGGGGTAGTGGAGAAGGTGTCCTTCCTCTCCAGCAGCATGCCAAGGTAGCACCAGGCCAGAGCTGGGTGTGAGAGGGTGGGAAAGGTCTCTGGGGAGCAGCAGCCCCCATGAAGAGGATGGAAAGGGCAGTGGGGGTGAGGGCATGGGGGGGGACGGGGTGATGCAGAGGTAGAGAGAAGCACAGGCAGAATGAGGGAGTGGGTGGTACATTCTGGTGCTCAGCCTCCATCTAACATGTCACCCAGGACCTCAATGCCAGGGCATAGCTGTCTTCTCACTCTGCCTCCTGGTAGATGTGATCCTTGTGTTAGCAGTCAGGCTCTGTGAGCCAATGTCTTTTAGAGGAAGCCTTCATCCCAAATCCTGTTCCTCAGGTCTAGGAATATGCACTTGCAACACTTTATTTCTTTGGGAGTGGGAGGGAACAAAGATTCTCTATGTAGATCAGGCTGGTTTTAAACCCATGATCCTTCTTCCTCAGCCTTCCAATGTTGGGCTTATAGGTGGGAGCTACCTTGCCCTGCTCTGCACTGCTTGGTAATCTGAATGTTTGCTAGCACAAAAAGTATTGTCTCCTTGAGGTGAACACATGAGTTTATGAGACAGGCACAAAGGGGAAAGATGTGGCAACAGAGATAGAGAGACAGTGCTAGAGTTTGGTGACAGGGCCTGTGACAAGGACCAGGGACAGTGTACGGGGACAGTAGGGCAGAGGATCTCCTTCTACCTCCACGCTAGGAGCTTACCTTGGTGGAGGGGGTCTGAGGACTTCAGGACTTGTCGCAGCAGGGCCAGTGTGCGGTTGAAGGCAGGCAGCCTCTTCTGATCCTCATTGCCCAGCTCCAGGAAGATGCCATCCAGCCTGTGATCCCAAAAGGTGTTCCTCCAAATCACCTCAGAGTGCTGCAAGCCTCCCGGGAAACCCTCTTCATGGGATGGGCCCCAGCCACTTCTGCCCCGGCCCTTGGCCTAGGTTCCAATCCCAGCTCTCCCCAACCGCCCCATGTTCCTCTCCACCCCCGGCCTGACCTGATGAGGAGCATTGCCATGGTGAAGTACCAGCCCCTTTTCTCCTCCTGCGGGATCTAGAGAGACAGAGAACACCATGCAGTTGTTATTGATGGTGCAGGAAGACTGTTCACAGGTTTACACGCTCTCCCTGTACCCCAAGAGGCAGCAAGCACAGTGGAAAAGACGTTGGCCTTAAACACCCCTTGATTCCAGCCCTGATTTGGCCAGTGATCACAAAGGATGATTTATTTATTATTTATTTTTGCAGTACTGGGGTTTGAACTCAGAGCCTCGATTTGCTAGGCAGGCACTCAACACCTGAGCCACACCCCAAGCCCTTTTTGCTTTGGATATTTTTCTTCCTTGCCCTCATTGAGCACCTTCCTCCACCTCTACCTTCCTGAGAAAGCCCCTGTGGGCCTGTGGGGCGTGTCCTGACCAGCCTAGGCTCCTCCCTCCCCCCACCAACTGCTTTCCCATTATTAGTCTTGCCAACCCCATCACCACACATTTAGACTGACTTGGGTACCAGATAAAATATTTATGCTGTTATTTATGGAAGTAGCTGCTCCTGCCTCAGGAAGGAATTTTAATGAAAACCAATAAAACCCCCAGTGCATGTCGGAAGCTTGGCCTCAGGCTCCAGCCCCTCCCCCCTCATTCATATCCCCCACTATTGATATTCTGCATTCCCCCACCCCCATCCCAGGGCTGCCTCAGCTGAGGATACCTACATACCTCCAGCAGCATTCAGTTCGGCTGGCATTTCTGAGCTGGTGCCAAGTCTTAGTTGATTTTTTTTGGGGGGGGGTCCGGTCGTGGGGCCTGAACTCTGAGCCTGGGCACTGTCCCTCAGCTCTTCAGCTCAAGGCTAGCGCTCTACCACTTGAGCCACAGCGCCACTTCCGGCTTTTTTCTTTTTGCTTATGTGGTGCTGAGGAATTGAACCCAGGGCCTCAGGCATGCAAGGCAAGCGCTCTACCACTGAACCACCTTCCCAACCCCAGGTCTTAGTTGAGAATGTGGTACTTGCTATGAGAATGTGGTACTGAGTAGGCACTGACCCCCTGTCCTGAGGAGGCTCCCCAGCTGGCTGGGGAAACAGAGTCAGGACTTGTCAGCACCTGCCATGTGCAGAATCCTTACCCTGCTCACCTCAATCGCACAACCAACCTGGGAGGGACAAGTTAGCCCCATTTTTACAGTTGAACATATTGAAGGTATTGTGACTTTGCCAATCATGCGGCTTGAGTGTCAGAGCTGGGATTCTTCACCAGGCCAGCTCACCAAAAACTCTTGTAGAAAGCAAAGCCTGACCAAGACTGTGAGAGTGATGCAGATTGAGAGGACAGACAGGACACCCCAGTCTGTGAGTTTAGGGTGGGTCTTGAGTGGTGGGCAGCACTGTAGATGGGGACCAGGGCAGACGGGAGGGAGGGCTTAGCATGAGTGAAGGCCTGGGGACGGGACTCCTGAGGCACAGTGCTGAGTGTATGCATAGAGGAGGGGCGACAGGGACCTTGGATGAACTTGGAAGGGGAGGGAACCTTATATGTAGGTGCCCCACTGGGGCAGGGGCAGGAAGTCCCGGCTCCAGGCAGAGCACCCAGAGAGGCTCTCGAGAATCCTCAGCCCTCCCTCCAGGATCATCTCTGGGTGGCTTGAGGCAGGGCAGTGAGAACAAGAGAGGAAAGGTTGGTCCCCTCTTGAGGGGCCTGGCAGGAAAGAAACAATTAGAGGAGGGACACTGGGATGATGGGAGATTGCAGGGCCATCTCAGCCTGTCCAGGAAATTGCCAGGCTTCCCAGAGGCGGCCCTGGAGAGAGGCTCAGGATGCCAGGGAATTGCCCAGGTGGACACAGCAGGGCACCTCAAGAGGCCATGGGTCCCATGTTTAGAGATGGGGGAGCATGGGGGAGCTGGGATCTGCATGAAGTTTGAGGCTGGAACCAGGGAGCAAGGAGTTGGGGACTGAGCAGGAGAACATCGGGAGGGTCTGAGTGCCACGTTCAAAATTGGGAATTCCTCTGCAGGGCAGAGGGGAGCCATAGCAGGGGTTAGACATGCACAGTGCCAAGATCCTCGGTGCTTGCTTGCTTTTTTCTCTCTTTCTTTCTCTTTCTTTCTTTCTTTCTTTCTCTTTCTTTTTCTTTCTTTCTCCTTCCTTCCTTCCTTCCTTCCTTTCTTCCTTCCTTCCTTCCTTCCTTCCTTCCTTCCTTCCTTCCTTCCTTTCTTTTTGGCCTGTCATGGGGCTTGAACTTAGGGCCTAGGTGCTGTCCCTGAGCTTTTTCGCTCAAGATTTGCAATCTACCACTTTGCGCCACAGTGCCATTTCTAGTTTTCTGGTGGTTAAGTGGAGATAAGAGTCTCATGGACTTTCCTGCCTGGGCTGGCTTTGAACCATGATCATCAGATCTCAGCCTCCTTAGTCGTTAAATGGGAATGTGTCTAAGGCTGTAGTTTTGAAGAACACTGTGGTGGAGAGGGGAACAGGCCCCCAGGGCACCCTTGAGGAGAGGCAACACTTCCCAAAGCAGAGAGGTGGATGCTGGATCACTGTATTTACTTTCCTTCCACAGAAACAGAGCAGGAAGAGGGATGCAGAGTTATTCAGCATTTTCTGTGGGCCATGCTGACTAAAGACCTTGACATATTGTCCAGGTCTGACTGAGGGCAGGAACAGGAATCTATGGTATCTTGGGCAGCCTGGCTGCTTGTGGTATGGCCTCAGACATCAGACCTGTTTTATGGTTGGCCAAACTGAGCCACAGCAGGAAAAAATGGCCCTGCCTTACCTATGTGCTCCTGACTAAGGGGAAAGGATAGAAGTGAGGGCAGGTGGAATGAGTTGGTTTGGGTGTGTTAACGGAGATTGCAGAGGCCTGGAAGTCCTGGGGGAGGAGACCATGGGGAGCCTGGGTCCTTAACTGCAACACTCTAGCCCTCTCAGGGGCTGTGAGGACCAGCCGAAAGGAAGGGTTATCCTGGCTTGGATTGCGGAGAAGCAGAGTCAGGCTCTTCAAGCAACTCCTTTGTCCTCTGTGACCTGTTTCAGTCTCAGTCCCCTCCTCTCCTAGGACTTCTGGCCCCTGTAGGGTCACAGGCACCACTGCTGCTTTTGCAGGTCCCAGAGTTGGAGAGAATATACTGCCCACAGCAATGTTCTCCCTGAAGCACAGCTGCACAGCCTCTCTCTCTCTCTCTCTCTCTCATTTGGCAATCGATTAAATTTTGTCCCTAACCACATGGTCAAGTGCATGCTTTGTCCACAGCAATCAGTCATTCGGTCAATCCTTATGGCATCTGAAGACACTGAAGTGACTTCCGCACAAGGTCACACAACAGTTAGCACCAGGGCTTACAGAATGCCCTTCCCCTACCACACCATCAATGTCTGAAGTCAGAGCCTGGTTATGGACTTCACTAACCTAGCAATACCACCACCTGATGGTAGTATGGCTGAATTGCAGGGCAACTCAGGAGTGTTTCATTCTTTCCCTTCAACTCAGACTAAAATAGATTAACAAAACAACACAAAACAACAACAACAACAAACCTGGGCCAGGCGCTGGTGGCTCACGCCTGTAATCCTAGCTACTCAGGAGGCTGAGATCTGAGGATCATGGTTCAAAGCCAGCCCAGGCAGGAACTTCTGTGAGACTCTTATCTCCAATAAACCACTAGAAAACCGGAAGTGGTGCTGTGGCTCAAGCGGTAGAGCACTTGCCTTGAGCTGAAGAGCACAGGGACAGCGCCCAAGCCCAAAGTTCAAGCCCCACGACCGACAAAACAACAACAAAAAACCTGGCTTTTGAGTGACATGTGTATGACAAATCTCAAATACAGCCCCCAATATCACACTTGAGAATGACAGTTGCAGAAGGAGGGTTGCAGCTGGAGTCAGTGGATACGGAGTGGAAGGAATGGCATGGATAGATGGAATAGAGCCGCTAGCTAGCAGGCTTTGGCTTTCATCCTCCATCCTTGCAACGGAGCTTCCAGAGGGCTGTTCACTCAGTGGTGACTGAAAATGAGCTGTCTCTTTAAATGGCCTTCTGGTTGATGCAGAAGCAGCAGCTGGAGCCGTTACCAGGGGCAACCTGGCAAGCCACAGTGTGTTAAATTAAATTAAACAGGCCTCTGGCTGTCCTTCCCTCCCACTGAGGGAGGGGCTGCTCTCCTCTCCTGGAGGATAAAAGTTACTGTGGAGCCTGTGTTGGAGCAAGGTGTACAGCTTCAGGAACTCCAGCTCCCAGGGGCTGAGGCAGCCAGGAGGGAGGACTGTTTCCTGAGGTCCAGCATAGAAGCCCAGGCTTCAAGCTGGATGTCAACAATGACACTGCTGTCCTGTGGCTGGTTCATGGAAAGGAACTGGGCCAGGCCTACAGTACCTCTGTGGTGGAAGACGTAACCTTGGTCTGAGCTGCAGGTGAGTGAAGGACAAACTCAGTGAGAGTTTGCAGACCATCTCCTGGCTCTGGAGGCCAGGTCTCTCTGATCTCAAGTTCCTGGTCTTCCCACCATGTCTCTCTCCAAAGAGTTAGAGTTTATACAGTGTTTACCAGTTACAGAAGGCTTATACATGATTCCATTGGGCCCTCAGAACATCCTGCATAGGATGCAAGGTAAAAGCCATTACCTATGCACTACAAAAGGGGAAACTGAGGCAAGATACTGTCCTCAAAGCCACATGGCTACTGTGAAAGCCTGGACTGAAACTTGGGCCTAAGGCTCTTTTTGCTATGCTGACGACAGCAAGTTTAATCCAGTGCTTACTATATACAAACCACAGATGTATGTGTTCCCTCCTTCGCTCTCCCAAAGGTGACGACTTATCAGGAGATGAGGCAACAAAGGCATGAAGTTGGGTGATGTTCCCAGAATGAAACAGCTGACAGGCAGCAGAACTCAAAACTCAGCCACTGAGTTCCAGGGTTAGGAAGTGGGGTTCTCAGGAATGCCTGAAGAGCCTGGGTCCTGCCATTGGGTAGGTACGCAGCAAGGCGGGTGACAGGGCAGAAACAATGGGATCAGGATAAGCCCTAAACAGAAGCAGGTGTGTGTCAGCTTGGGTAGGTACAGGATGGTCCCAAGCCTTCCATTTGCTTCAAAGCAGGGTGCTAATCAAGGGGGTGCTGGGAGCGTGGCAATAAAAGCCCTTTTTATGAAACCAATGCCTTTCAGATCTATATGCTCTGAGTGGGCTGGACAGACACCTTGTTTGTTCTTATGGAAACTATTTGCCTGCAGTTTGAACTTCGTTCCTGATGGCTGCCTTCCACATTCCAGAGTGGGTTCTTGACAGCTGACTCATTCTCTTCCAGGAGGGGAGTGGCAAAGGGTAGAGGGCAAAGACTGAGAACTTTCTCAGGGTCACTGGGCACTTTGTGTACACAGCACCAGATTCTCACTGTGGTGGAAAGGATATTATACAGATGAGAAAACAGGGAGGTATTGGGATCAAGGCCATCAGCCTCTTTGGCCTCCACGGCCACACGGGCCTCCCTCCAACACCCAGCATCCTTTCCGACTCCTTGCTGACACTGTGAAGGCTGACACCACTGAGGAAGTCACAAACTGCTGGCCTAGGAGGACAATTCGTTCTTCCTGCACATCTAGAATGTCCTCTGTGGTGTCAGCCCACCTGGCCCCCTGCCACCTGTGGGACGGGAAGGAGGGGTCCTCTCTGCCCCCCACGGAGGCTGATGCTCTCCTACCAGCTTTGCCAGGTGTAAGGGCCATGCAAGGCTGGACTGGGAGGCCCCCATACCCCCGCCCCTGCCATCTCTCCTCAGGGATTCTGGAAAGGTCACCTGACTCAGCCTGTGTTAGACGCTTGTGGAGAGGGTCATGGAGGGTTAAATACGGCCAGCTGTAGGAAGTTTGCAGATCAGCCTCTGCCTGGGGAATGAATATTCAGCCCTGCACTGTGTTCCTGGACTGTCTCACATGATCATTTTTTTGACAGTCCTAGGACTTGAACTCAGGGCCTGGACACTGTCCCGGAGCTTTTTTTGCTCAAGGTTAGTGCTCTGCCACTTTGAATCACAATGCCATGTTGAGTTTTTTGGTGGTTAATTGGAGAGAAGAGTCTTGTGGACTTCTGTGCCTGGACTGGCTCTGAACTGTGATCCTCAGATTTCAGCCTCCTGAGTAGTTAAGATTACAGGGGTGAGTCACCAGCATCTGGCCTCTTCCACATGAATTTTACTTAGAGCAGATGGACTATTAGCATGTCTTTTCTGGCCTAAGTCTGATATGTGGACACGGGCTCAGTGCTGGACAATGAGGAGCCACTTCTCTAGTCCATGGTCCCTAGAGAGAAAGGGCTACACCTTGCCTTGTCCTGGGTCCAAATCTAATTCTAGCCCTAATGGGAAAGGGTGTGGCACTAACAGGCCTCATGAGCCTGTGTAGTATGACACCGTATGTACTCAATCCCTTCTCCCAGCCAGAGGCTGGTGCTGCTGAATCCTGTTAGAGCAGCGGTAGTGGTGTGGGTGGGGGAGGGGGCCCCAAATCTATAAGAAGGGAGACTCAACCCTCAAACTCACTAGTTAAGTGCACAAGAAGCCAGCAGCCAACTCGGCAGCACTGATGTACAAGGTGAGGTCAAGAAGTCTGAGTCAGGGGCTGGGAAGATGGCTCAGTGGTAGAGCACTTGCCTTGAATGCATCAGGCCCTGGGTTCGATTCCTCAACACCCCATAAGCAAAAAGAAAAAAGCCGGAAGTGGCCCTGTGGCTCAAGTGGTAGAGCACTAGCCTTGAGCTGAAGAGCTGAGGGACAGCGCCCAGGCCCAGCATTCAGGCCCACAACCAGACCTCCCCCCCTTAAAAAGAAGTCTGAGGCAGACCCTCAGGAGTGCTGTCTTTAGCCTGTGCTTCAGTTCCTTTCAGCCGCTCATGCTGTGTGCCTCTAGGCAAGTCACTACACCTCTCTGAGCTTCCACTTACTTGTCTTTAGACTGGGGTTAATAAGGGATGGGATTTTCAGTATTTCTTTGATGACCCAGTGAGATCATTTATCTATGAAAAGCACAAGCTCGGTGCTGGGCTTATCCTCACATGACCCAGCTGAATCAAATGCAACCACTCAGAAGTGTGGAGGGATGCGTGTGCACAGGTGCACACTCACACCTGAACACACAAAGACACTGGGACCCTGGGGTGGCTAACCAAGGGTACTTTCTTGCCAATTACCACCCTGTAGGGTAAGAAGGATTGGAATTCACATACCTGTTTGTGAGGCTGGCCTGTAGCTCTGCCGCCTTTCTTCCCTCTCTCCCTCCCTCCCTCATGCCCAGATGCCTGGTGAAATCCACATAGCACAAGGTTACCAGAGAAGTCCCCTCCCCGCCCTGATCCACTGTGCCCTGTGTGTGAGGGGAGCCCAGTGCCCAGCTGGTGAGGTCTCACTAATAAAGACAGTGAAGGTTGAACCTCAGAGCCTGACACGAACACATAACTAGGTCTTATCTGACTGCAAAGTCTATGTACACACGAGCCTAATACCCACAAAACCTTGATGTCTGCCACCAGGAAACCCTTAGTGACTCATGGTGGTGGGGGGTGGAGGGAGATGCTGGAGAAGGGCAGGAATGATAAAGCAAACTGGTTTTTCATATTTGCTTTTAGTCATGTAAGAGCAGGGGATAACTCCTCTGTATAATAGCTTAATAAAAACAATTAAAAATAGTTAGAAAAAAACCCACAGGGGATGACAGGTGCTTAGTAGCTCATGTCTTGTAGTCCCAGCTACCAAGGAGGCTGAGATCTGAGAATTGCAGGGAAGAAAAGTCCATGAGATTTTTTTTTTAATTTTCTGGTCCTGCCATTCGAACTCTGGGCCTAGGCTCTGTCCCTGCTCCTTTTGCTCAAGGCTAGCACTCTACCACAGCGTCACTAACAGCTTTTTCTGTGATTAACTGGAGATAAGAGTCTCATGGACTTTCCTGCTTGGGCTGGCTTCAAATTGCAATCCTCACATCTCAGCCTCCTGAGTAGCTAGAATTACAAGTGTGAGCCACCAGCACCCAGCTTGTCCATGAGATTCTTTTTTTTTTTTTTTTTTTTTTAAGGAGAAGTGAGGGATTTTTCTTTTTAAAATTTCTTTAAAATTTTCCTGGTACTGAGGAATTGAACCCAGGGCTTTATGCATGCTGGGCAAGCACTCTACCACTAAGCCATATTCCTAGCTCTCCATCAGATTCTTAAACTCCAAATAACCATCCAAAAGGCATATGTAGGAGCTGTGGCTCAAGTGGTAGCGTGCTAGCCTTGAGAGAAAACAAACAAACAAAACCCTCAGAGACAGCGCCCAGACCCTGGACCAGCAAAAACAAAAACAAAAACAAAAATAACCAACAACAGAACAGAGACAGAAAGTCACGTAGATGCACCCGCCCATGCATCAGGCCTGCTTGTTTTCAGATTCTGAGCTGAACTAGCCCGGTAGCATGTCCTTTTGTCACTGGTCAGCAGAGGGGTTGTCTGTGGCTCTCAAGCACCTCTTTATCCTCTGGCTCTTGGGACCCTTCCCTGCCTGTGTTGGCCCAGCCTCGTCAGGTAAAACATCTCTGGTCACAGCCTAGACTGACACAGCTGCAGATGCCTAGTCCCGCAGCACTCCCCAGGGGCCATTACACTGAAGGAAGGCCCTTACTACCTCTACCTTCCACACCCATCCTCTGAGTATCCTCAACACAAGACATGGTGACTTTCCTCTGCCCTGGTTTTCTTTTTCTGGAGAGGGTCCCTTCTCCACTGGCCTTCCTCATTCCCACTTCTGTGACCCCCTCCAGAAAGTTCAAAGGCTTTTCTCTTGAGTGGCAATAGTGCTTTGCACTCAAAACCTTGTGTTTCTTAGGTTACTCACTCTACTGTGAGCCATGCATGCCTCCAGCCCAGTTCGCACTGGTTATTTGGAGATAAAATCTCTCGAATTTCCAGGACACGTGGCTGGACCACCATCTGCCTATTTTATGCTTCCTGTCATAGCTAAGATAACAGGCATGTGCTACCAAATACAGCTTTCGTCCTTTGGGATGAACTCTTGTGAATGGGGCTTGCCTCAAACCATGATGCTCCAGATCTCACTTTCCCAAAGAGGTAGGATTACAAGAATGAGCCACCTGTGCCTGACCAAGAGTAGATTTGTAGCCTGGGCAGGGAAGTCCGTGAGACTCTTATCTCCAATTTACCACCAGAAAATGAAAGTGATGCTGTGGCTCAAGTGGTAGAGTGCTTGCCTTGAACTGAAGAGCTCAGGGACAGTTGCCCAGGCCCAGAGTTCAAGCCCCAGGACTGACACCACACAGACACACACACACACAGAGCAAAATTTGGAATCAGGAGCAGTAGTAGGTTCAACTGCTACCTACTAGCTCTGTCCCCTAGGACACATTGCTTGCTATGCTGCAGCTCTCTGGTCTGTAAGGTGAGTCTCCTGTGAGGACTGTGTGAGGTGGTCACAGATACGACCAAGTCAGCTGAGTGAGGGAGGCTTCCAAGAGGAGGTAACACCAGAGCTGGTCTCTGATGCATGGCGCTTGCTGCCTAGGCGGGGGGCACCGAACCCTCTCGCAGAGGCATAAACCAGTACAGGATGTTTGAAGAACTATAAGCAGGTGAGAATTGCTGCCAAGTAGCAGGCAGGGGAGGAGGAAGCTGGGGCACTTCACTGTCATCCTGATTGCACCTATTTCTTGAGCAGCTTCTTGATGCCAGAACTTTAAGAAGGAATTTATTTATTCATTTTTTATTTTTATTTATTTATTTATTTTTTGCAGCACTGTGGACAGAACCAGGGCCTTGGGCACACTAGGCAAGCAATCTACCATTGAGCTGGTGCCCTGAGCCGCAACCTGGGTCAGGGACTTTATAAACACCATGCCATCATCTCCTCAATGACACCTGTCTCTCCTGACCGCAGCTACTCTGGACAGAACTGGGGATCAGCACTGGACCAGGTCCAAGGACGCAGCACAGAGCCTGAGAGCCACATTGCCTCTACCCACCCAGCCCCCGCCTGCAGCCATTGGCTCCCTCTGGGGAACACTGGGCATCTGACTCAGCACTCGCTCAGCTGGGTGTTCACTCGCTGCCCGGTGTGTCTGTGCTGACTGTGGAGACGATGGAACTGACCTCTGTTTGTTTATCATCCTTGAACTCTCCCTGTTTACCTCCTCCAGGAAGCCTTCCCAGAATGCCTCCCGAGGGACCATACAGTGCTCCTTCCTGTGCAAACAGTAGAGAGAATGAGCATCTCTGCGGGTATCACTACAGCTTTAATGAGCTCTGAGCCCCCTAGCTGCTCCCCCAAGGCTCTTCAGATCCCCAAACCACCTGAGACCATAATCTTGCTCACCACAGTGCTGGGTGCTGTCCGCGCAGGGCAGCCTGGCATTCAGGGACACAGGCTTAGTCTTCAAAACTGGAGACCTCCAGCCTGCTGGCTCCATATGATGGACACACCTGCACCCAGCTTGCAGATGGAGGAGGCGTTGTGGGTGGTGAGGCTGAGGGACACCTGGAACCCTGCCTTGTCGCTGTGTAGGCTCTTTCTAGGAACTTTACAAGCATTAATGCTTCTTCCTCCTTTCCCACCCTCCCTGCTTCCTCCCAGTGCAAGGGCTCGAACTCAGGGTCTCAAGCTCCGCTTGGCTTTCTTGCTTACAGTTGGTGCTCTAACTGTTGAACCACGCCTCCAGCCTGGAATTTTGCTGGTTCATTGGAGTTGGAGTCTCATGGACTTTTCTACCCAGGTTGATTTCAAATCATAATCCTCCAGGTTTCAGCCTCTGGAGTAGCTAGTTCTACAGACATGAGACAGCAAGCAGTGACCAGCCTCAAACTCTAACTCTTAGTTATGACATCTGCCAAGTAAAAGATGTCCTTGTTTTACTGAGGATGTTACCCTATTATTATCCTATTTCACAGACAGGGAAGGGATGCTAGAGATGCTAAGTGCCCATTAGAAGTGAGAGCATGGAGAGTTGGGTTCAGGACCTGGGCCACTGGCCCAGAGTCTCTTCCCAGCCTCTACCCTGCACCGCTGTCTGAAAGTCAAGTCTATGCCCACCAATTCACACTCTCCTTGAGGTTGTGAATCACACATTTCTCCTTACAGAAGCCATGGGTTTGGGTGGAAAAAAACACTGAGAGCGTATATGTGGGCTTTGTGAATGCAGATATGCTGCCTGTGTGTAAAGGTTGTGGCTCCTTAAATATCACCAGTCTATAAATTAGGAAACAGTACTGTTCTCTGCTTGACCTTGACTGAGTTATGCTTTCACAGAAGTCACAGCACCCTCTCTCAACTGTGGTATTTTCTTTCATAGGAAAGAGAATGCCCTCCACATCCTTCTCCCGCCATTCATACCTCCTGCAGCAGGCAACTTGAGAGATAGATCCCCGTGATCACACCTGGGATGTGGGATTTGGTTAATTTCCACCCTTGGAGTGTGGATTGGATCTACTGGCTTGCTTCTAATGAACAGAATATGGCACAAGTGATACGATGTTGCCAGCAGCTGGTAAAGAGCTGAACTCAATTCATAGCCACTTGAGCTAGTGTGGAACTGAAAGTCTCCCTTCTCCCAGGCCAGCCTTCGGATTCGACCACTGTGCCCTCGGGCACTGAGCTGAGCCATGTCTGGATTCCTACTCCCACAAAACAGTGCAATGACAAGTGCTTACTGCTTTATGCCATGAAGTTTGAGGGAGCACTTGTTCTGCAGCAACAGGCAACTTGTTTGCCTAGTAACTTTCCATTTCATGCCAATCCCTATGCTGCACTGACATATGCTGCATGAGTGCCCTTGTGCACCAGGCATTGACAAACCAGGCAGACAGTAGGAACCATGCTGTGGGAGCTCAGGGGAGGCTCTGATGGTCTAGGAAGTTATTGAGACATCCTAAAGAGAGGATGTCTGATACAGACCTGAGACTGAAAAGCCTTCCAGGCAAAGGTGGAATAGAAGGTCGCCCAAGAAGAGCCCAAGCCAGCACAAAGTGAGCTGTTAGGAGCAAAGGCTCACGGGGAATCAAGGTGCAGTAGAATATGGCCAAAGCCTGGCTGAGAACGGGGAAAGGAGAGGAAGAGCACACAGGTGGCAGTCACCAAGGACCTCAAATGCCCTCCCCAAATTCCTAGGGTTTATCAGCTAGTGTGTGTGTGTGTGTGTGTGTGTGTGTGTGTGTGTGTGTGTGTGTACTGAGGCTTGAACTGAGTGCTTGGGCACTATCCTTTAGCTTTTTCTTTCAAGGCTGACACTCTACCACTTGAGCCACAGCTTCACTTCTGGCTTTTTGGTAGTTAATTGGAGATAAAAGTCTCACAGATCTTCCTGCCTGGGCTGGCTTCGAAATGGGGTCCTCAAATCTCAGCCTCCTGAATAGTTAGGATTACAGGTGTGAGTCACTAGCACCTGGCCAGCTTGTATCTTTTTTCTTTCTTTCTTTTTTTTTGGGTCCGATTGTGGGGCCTGAACTTTGGGCCTGGGCGCTTTCCCTCAGCTCTTCAGCTCAAGGCTAGAGCTCTACCACTTGAGCCACAGCGCCACTTCCGGCTTTTTTCTTTTGGGGTGCTGAGGAATCAAACTCAGGGCCTCATGCATGCAAGGCAAGCGCTCTACCACTGAGCCACCTTCCCAGCCCCTGTATCTTTTCTTTTCCCTCCTTCCTACCCTCCCTTCCTTCCTTCCCTCCTTCCTTCTTTCCTTCCTTTCCTCCTTCCTTCTTTCCTTCCTTCCTTCTTTTCCTTTTTCCTTTCCCTTTCTCTTTCTTTCTTCCTTCCTTCCTTCCTTCCTTTCTTTCTTTCTCTCTCTCTTCCCCTTCTCCCCCTCTCTCTACCCCTCCCTCCCTCCTTCTTTCCTTCCTTCCTTCCTTCTTTCCCTTTCCCTTTCCTTTCCCTTTCTCTTTCTTTCTTTCTTTCTCTTTTTCTCTCTCTCCCCCCTCCCCCTCCCTTCCTCCCTCCCTCCCTCCCTTCTTTCCTACCTTCCCTCCCTCCCTCCTTCCTTCCTTCCTTCTTTCCCTTTCCCTTTCCTTTCCCTCTCTCTCTCTCTTTCTTTTTCTCTCTCTCCCCCCCTCCCCCTCCCTCCCTTCCTCCCTCCCTCCCGTCTTTCTTTCCTTCCCTCCCTCCTTCCTTCCGTCCTTCCTTCTTTCCCTTTCCTTTCCCTTTCTCTCTTTCTTTTTCTCTCTCTCCCCCTCCCTCCCTCCCTTCCTTCCTTCTTTCCCTTTCCTTTCCCTTTCTCTCTCTTTCTTTCCTTCTCTTTTTCTCTCTCTCCCCCCTCTCTTCCCTCCCTCCCTTCCTCCTTCCTTCCTTCTTTCCCTTTCCTTTCCCTTTCTCTCTTTCTTTCTTTCTCTTTTTCTCTCTCCCCTCCCTCCCTCCTTCCCTCCCTCCCTCCCCTCCCTCCTACTTCCCTCCTTCCCTCCCTCCCTCCCTCCCTTCCTTCCTTCCTTCCTTCCTTCCTTCCTTCCTTCCTTCCTTCCTTCTTTCCTTCCTCTCTTCTCTCTTTTCTTTTCTTCTTTTCTTTTCTTTTCTTCTATTTTCTTTTCTTTTCTGGTCACAGAAACAGGCACTTGCTGGAAGGAGCAAGGAAGAGGGATGGACTGACCAGGTTGGGTTTGCAGTATTCTGGGAATACAATAATAATACCGATGTGGGCCCCTAGTACAGGAAGGCAAAGGGATAGAGGTCGTCCAAGAAGAGAATGGGGTGCACACTGGAGGAGGTGTCTCTGCAAAGACCACAGCCTTTTGGGGGTGTGGGGCTGGGAGTGTCCCTCACCTGCTTCCCGTAGCTGAGCGCCTTGTCGTAGAGGGCGATGCCTGCCACCAGCACCCGTGCGCGCTCTTCTGGGCTGGCACAGCCCACATCGAAGCCGTGCGCGTAGCCTTGCTCCGCTAGGCAGCGCGCAGCGCGGAGCTGGGGGTCCCCGGAGGCCTCGGGCTCTTCTGCCAGGCCCATGAGGCCCGCCAGCCTCGCGGCGCACGCCTCCTCCTCCTCCTCCTGGCCCAGACGCCCGTACACGTGTGCCAGGTTGGCCCAGGCGTTGAGGTTGCCGGGGTCTTCGCGGGCCACCTGGAGGAAGCGCTCGCGGGCCTCGTCCAGCTCCTCCAGGTGGAAGGCGAGCGCGCCCAGCAGGTGGCCCAAGGCCGGCCTCTGCCCCGCGGCCGCCAGCTCCAGCTCCTGCCGCAGGCGCTCCCGCTGCAGCTTCAGATCGCGGGGTCGCGATGAGGCCGGCGCGCACGGCTCGAAGTTCAGCTGCATCTCCAGGTGGAAGTGGCCGGGGAGGTAGTCTAGGTCGTCGATGAGCGCGTCCAGGTCGTCAGCCACGGCCTCGGGATCCGTCATGGCTGCGCTGTTGCTCGCTTGGCCTCGCCAAGTCGGTGGGTGGGCAGTGGATGGGGAGGTGCGGGGCGGGGAGGACGCCAGCCAGAGCGAGCCCGGCACGGAGGCCCAGGGCGCGGCCACCACCGGTCCCCGTCCGACCCTGGGATCCTGGGCGCCTCCCGCCCGTGGGTGGGTCCCGTGTCAGCCACGGGGAGTGTCCTGTAGGTGTTTCCGCTTTCGCTGCTCAGCTAGACACAGCCTTGCACAACCAGGTGTGCCAGAAAAACAGGTGCATTGCCAAATGCGGGCCTCGCAAACCCGGGTACGCGAGGCAAAAGGGAGAACTTTTCACTCTGCTCAGCAGATGAGGAAACTGTTTCAGAGGAGGAAAAGAGCTGGCCCAGCTCACAGGACTGGGGCGTGCCCTGCAGGAGGTCTGGAGCCCCACTTTTGCCCAAGATCACCTCCCTCCGGGGTGCGGCTCCGTGCTGCCCTCCTGAGCAAAGCCAGGACTGGTCTTGCAGCCGAGGAAGCCCAGCTGTTCCATGCCCTCCACTGCTGTCCGGTCCCCTCAGCTGCCGGCCCCCCCTTCCCCCTCGGCCCTCCTAGCTCTCCAGTGTTCTTCCTCTCGGCAGAGTCCCTCCCCCCTCACCTGGGTTCCTTCAGCCATTATTCCCACCCACACTTCCCACTTGGGATTTCGCTACATCCTCTCTGCTCAGCAATGGCTTCCAGATGCCAGTTCTCATTTCACTTGTTCAGCCTGAGTAATGTGTGATTGGTCCTATAGCCTACTTTGCTCTTCTGTGACATGGGGATGCCAGTTCCTTCCCCCGCAGGGCAGGGAGATGTCACAGCTGAAACCATAAGTGGCCATTCTGGGTCAGTGTCAGCTTGGTCCTCCCCCTATCTGCTCATCCCATCCTGTACCTGCCTGGTTCTAGTCTCCTGCTTGGGCCAGTCTTGCTCTCAGGCCTGTGGAAGTCTCCTGACCTCTAGCTTGCAGACTAGGGGATCATGCTCTCTGCTGCAGGTTTGAGTCCTCCTACCCTGCTCTGGATTCTGGACCCCTCTTGCCATTCTTGCTCCCAGGCCTGGAGATGTGTGCTCAAGCAGAACAGTTTGTGAGATTCTTACCTCCAATTAATCATCAAAGAGCCAGTGGTAGAGCGGTGCCTCCACTGGTAAAATACCAACCTTGACCACAAAGGCTAAGGAACAGTGCCCAGGCCCATGAATTCAAGCCCGAGTACTGGCATTAAAAACCAACCAACCAACCAACCAAGATTTTGGTGCCATTGATCACTTGTTATTTTTGTAGATACAAAATGTAATACAATTAGTAATTTTTAATCTAAAAAAGCTTACTATAAATTGCTGTTGATCAGGAGATGAACCTTGTCCTCTACCTGCCTTGATTTGTTCATGTTGTAGCACATAGCATCTGTCAATTGTCCTTTTTAAGGCTGAATAAAGGCTGTCTATGCTAGACTCTGTTTATCCATTCATCTGTTGGCATTCATGTGGGTTTCTCCCATCTTGTGGCTGTTGTGAACAGGTTACATTATTATACATGTTTGGGCCCTGCCTTTGCTTTCTTCTGGGTATGTATCTAGAAGTAGAGGTGCTGGATCATACAATAATGCTTTTCTGTTCTCTAAGAAACCGTTGTGCTGTTTTCCACAAAAAAACCATTTTATTTTCCTACCAGCAATAAGCCACGTTCCAATATCTCTACATCCTTACCAACACGTGTATTTTCTATTATTTATAATAGGCACGCTGATGGATGGGCTTAGCTTTTGACCTGACTTCCAGAAGGTTAGTAGAAGTTGGGAGGAAAGGAGAGCTTGAGTCTGGAGGTGTGTATGTGTGTGTGTGTGTGTGTGTGTGTGTGTGTGTGTGTGTGTGTTTCAGAAGCAGAAAAGGCTAAAGGGTGCTCTCAAATATTATGTCTCAAATGTACCCTGCCTTACTATATATGGCCAGGGCAATGGATCATTTTGTCTAGGCCATAGTTCCCTTTCATTTTATTTTCTCTACCACCTGAGCCTTACCTCCAATCCCAAGTTCCCTTTTCTGTACAATGAGGGTGGGGAGGTTGGGCTAGTATCTCTGAGAGGGAATAAGCTTGCTGTTCACACAAGGAAGTAGTTGTGATAGGGCAGTGTTGGGCTGCCTAGGACAGGTGCCCTTACTGTACAGTTGACTCACCATGGCCCATTCTACCCTGCCTGTCCACCAGGACCCAGTGGACCTTGTCACTCCTCCATGAGTCCCAGAGCCAAGGGATCAGTGTGGGAGAGAAGCAGCTAAGCAGTTGTAGAAAGGATTCCTGAGCAGACCTGGGGCGGTGGAAGAGTTCTGGGTGTATAGGTCTACATATCTGATGCTGCCCTGATACCTCGAAAATTCTCCTCCAGGAAGATCCAGTCATGTGTCCCTGTCCTAAGTGAGGAAAACAATGCTTGGTGAGGGTATCTTGCTCAAGGTCACCAGCTAGGAAGCAGCAGAGAGGGGATCCTGCTCTGGACATTGGACTACATTCACCCATTCATTAATTGTCATTTAACAAATATTTACTGAGCACTTACTACGTGGTAAGTACTGTATCAAGAAGAGGATAAGATACAGTCTCTCTGTAGACCTCTGACAGGTTCTTTTCCAAGGACTAGGAATGACCTCACCAAGCTCTTGCTATGTTTAGGAATGCCACCAAAATCGGGTCATCTCATTTTTGCAGCAGTCTGTGGAGACAGATCACTCTCTCTATGGAAGAATGCTGAGACAGAGAAGGAAACAACTTGCTCTAGGTCCCAGTCCTGGGGAGGGACAGTGGATGACTCAGGGTATCTGATCCTGAGGACCCAGGCTTCTGACCATCCATTCAGTGATGCACGATGGACACTCTGGCAGCCATGGCTATGTGCCCCAAAGCATAGAGCCTCAGAGTCCAGCTCTGGGCTGTGGGAGGGTGGAGGCACACATTAAATACTGGCTCTGGGTATCAGAAGGGCATTGGGTGGGGCCTGCACAGGAAAACTGTGCACCTCTGGTCCAGAGCATATCCTACCCGTCTGTGGCTTCAACTGTGTCATCAAGAATTAGATGGAGGGCTGGGAAGGTGGCTCAGTGGTAGAGCTTGCTCTGCATGCACGAGGCCCTGGGTTCGATTCCTCAGCATCACATAAACAGAAAAAGCTGAAAGTGTTGCTATGGCTCAAATGGTAGAGTGCTAGCCTTGAGCTGAAGAGCTGAGGGGCAGCACCCAGGCCCCAGAGTTCAGGCTCCCCCAGGCAGGAAAGTCCATGAGATTCATCTCCAATTAACCACCAGAAAACTGGTGGTGCGGTGTCTCAAGTGGTAGAGCGCTTGCCTTGAGCTAAAGAGCTCAGAGACAGTGCCCAAGCCAGTGTTTGAGCTCCATGACTGATAGAAGAAAAAAAAAAAAAAAAGGATGGAAGCCAGGAGCTGGTGGTTTACACGTGTAATCCTAGCTACTCAGGATGCTAAGACCTTAGGATCGCTGTTCAAAGCCAGCCCAGGCAAGAAAGTCAGTGAGACTCAAATTTTCCACCAGAAAATCAGAAGTGGCATTGTGGCTGAAAGTGGTAGAGCACTAGCCTTGAGAGAAAGCTCAGCGATAGCACCCAGGCCCTAAGCTCAAGCCCCATGACAACCACCAAAATAAAAATACAAATTAGATGGAGATTTCCACTCCACTAGTTGCTAAAGGCCCTTGTGGGATAAGAGACAATCATGGAGATGCTATTTCAGCTAGACACAGCCAGGGGTGCTGGAAAGAGGAAATACGGGAAGAGGGAGAGCTGACCATGTTCTGTTGGAAGTGCACATGCTCAACTCCTTTCTTCACCTGGCAAGTCGACGCTTCAGTGTTAAGCTTGGAATTCTCCTCCTCTAGGAAGCCTGCGCTGACCCATCCACGGATCTCTCTTGGGCCTGACCACAGGGTAGGGACCAGGTTTGGCCCCCAGGCAGGCTGCACAGTGTCTGTCCAGAATGGATGTTCAGGTGTATGAGGGACCGACCCTGCAACCCCCTGCCCAACTCTCCAACCTGACCTTGGTCCTCCATGCTCCTCTCTCCTAGCCCTGCCCCTATTTCCTCCCTCTCTCCATTGTCGGGGTGCCATTTTGCCCAAATCTCTGCTCTTTCGGTCCTTGGTTACATCCCATCCCAACGCGGGTGTTAAGAGGCACCTCCTGAGTCTGGTCTCACCCAGCAAACAAATCCTCAGCAAATGATCCGACCAAATCGCTCCATATTAAGCACCAGGAGGGGTCATTAAGTCTTCAGGGAAGGATCTCTGGCAAGGCAAGCCTGGAAAACACACAAATGAATGAACACTTCTGGGAGGGGCTGGCGGCGCCACGTGGCACCGACGCAGAAAATCACAAGCCTCTAGTTGCCGTGGTAACGGGGCGGGCCGGGGCCAGAGCTGGGGGAAGGGTGCTCCGGGGCCGGGCAGGCTCAAGTCAGGCTGCTCGGACCTCGTGGCGGTGCCCGATCACTACCACCGGCACCATGACCTCCACCTTCAAGTGGTTCGGACGGGCGCCCTTCGGGGTGCAGAGCCACAGGTGCGGCCCATCTGCATCCTGGAGCTCACGTTCTAAGGCAGCCTCTGCCTGTCCCCCAGAACCCCCTCCTGAGGGTTGGGGGTGGTTAAGGCCCCTCCCCTCGGAAGGGATGTAGTTTGGAGGAGGAGGAGGAGGAGGGGTTGTCTGGCAGTAAGGGGGGGCTGGACCCCCCTCCACTTCTTCCTGCTGCCCACCCCCTTTAAAAAAAAAAACAACTCTTCTACTTTCTTAGTGCATCCTTGTAAGTCAGGTCCAGAGCACCTATTATGTGCCGGGTTTAGAGAGAAGCCAGATAATCTAGCACTTGGTTAAAAAGCTGTGGGTGGGAGGCTGTGAATGTGGCTTAGTGGTAGAGTGCTTTGCCTAGCATGCATGAAGCCCTGGGTTCGATTCCTCAGTACTCCATAAACAGAAAAAGCCAGAAGTGGTGCTGTGGCTCAAGTGGTAGAGTGTTAGCTTTGAGCAAAAGAAGGGACAGTGCCCAGGCTCTGAGTTCAAGCCTGGGGACTGGAAAAAAAAAAAAAAAAGTAGTGGGTGGAAGGATGGGAGTGTGACTCTTGTGGTAAGCAGAGCAGCTGCCTAACAAATCCACATCTCTGAGTTCAAAACCCCAGTACAGCCCACCACCCCACAGAAAGGTTGTGGGTGAGAGTTTACCCAGTTGTCTCATCTTCAGATACATTATGTGCATTTTATAGTTTGCACTCTATGAGAGAGGGGCAGGGTAGATAAAAACCATATCATACTAAAGCTATCTACAAACCCAGTGTGGTCGTTCACATCTGTAATTCCAGCACAAAGGAGAATGAGGCAACAGGACCTCAAGTTCAAGGCCACCCTGGGCTACATAGGGAAACTGTCTCAAACACACACAAAACATACATTGCATTATATATGAAGTATATCTAAAATATATATAATAGCGTAATATGCACATACACGTACATACATACACGAAGTCTAGTGGTGATGGGGCCTTTAGCAAAAAACTTAGCTGGAGGAAGAGTTGGAGGGTGAAGTGGGACAGAGTGGGGTGGAGTCACCCCGAATGGCCCAAGCTACTGCAGCCCTGATGTTCAGCCTTCATGGCCAGCTCCAACGTCACCTGTTTTGGGAGAGTGGCTTGCCCATCCTGTAAGACTGCCCAAGCTGAGGTCCAGTGCTAGGCCCTGGGCTCAGTGGGCTGCATGTCTCCCTAGGTTCGATGTCTCTGGTGTTTATCCCCAAAGAAAGAAACTCAGCACCTTCACAGAGGCTCCCTACTCCAGACAACATTCCGTGGATGTGGTGAGTTCTTGGCCGTTTGGCCTTCCCCACATAGTCTGGATTTTGCTCTTCGAAGCAGCCCATCCCAGTGGGTGAGCTGAGCTGTGTATGTGATATGTTCCTCCCTTTCCTCCCCCCTTTTCTCCCTTCCTACCCCCTCCACTCCCTTCTCTCCCTTTCTCCATACCTACAGCCCCAGGTATGAGCTTGATCTGGAGTCAGGCTTCTGATGTGTTTGATAACATGGACTGTAGTGCAAACAGCACATTTTTGGGGGCTGCACAGACCTGGATCCCGGTCCCAGCTTCAGTGCTGGCCACTGTGGGCTCTCCAGTGTTACTACGCCTCCCTCAAGTGTGACAGGGCCAGTGCCAGAGGAGGTTAGGATCACACCTGGCATACTAAGTGCCCAAATACTCAGATGGATGCTGGGGGGGAGGATTGCTTGGCCTCTAGCTCCAGGTCAGGGGTGGTTTGGTGAGGAGAGACTGGGTGGGTATGGAGTTTGCTGTAAGGATGGACTGGATGTGTATGGCTGGTCCAGTTCTGACAATGTTCTAACTCAGTCCCATATAGGACCTGGGGCCTACAACTGCACAGAGA